AACCAGTTTGATGGAAGTGTCTTGGATTGTGTATGAAAACACCACACTGTACCCCCAAAGTGCATCAATGTACACAGTTACCATTCAATAAAAAAAAAAAATAAATAAATAAAGAAGAAAGCAGAGAGGCTCAGAAAAAAAAAAAAAACCTTTAAATTCATAAATAATTTCTTAAGTAATAGACTTTAAAAGATTTCATAATTTAAAAATTTAAAGTTTATTTCTTTCATGCAACATGACCATTTCAAATACCTCTTGTATAAACACATGTTTTATTAGGCAAATATGAAACCCTTCAAATAGCTTGATAAGATAGTCTCTCTCTGGAGAGCAATTTCCCTTTCTAATCATTTGTGTCATATAGGTTTGATTAAGTGTAGGGAATAGAGAAAACCTTACAAATAATAATAGAATTATTAGAGGTGGGAATATCCTTTCATTTGGTATAATTCAAATGACTTGCTTAATAGCATTAATCATCTTCTTTCAAAACAAATTAAAGAAATTTCAGTTTTATGCTTCCCAAAGATACTCATTTTAGATGAGTCAAGTGGCTTCCAAAACGCCGTAAGTACTCACTTTTGGAACTGGTGAGTTTAATCAAGACCTTAGATTCTGCAATTGTGTGGTCTCTTGGGTCACTATGAGTAGAAAGTTTTTCTGAGTGTGAAAATCACAGAATGATGTTCAATGGTCTTAGAGAAGAATTTACTTAAGTAGGGCACCAAAACCAGCTTAACTTTGGACAATTCTGGGAAAAGATAGGCTTGAAGTTACTGGAGATGTGCTTACCAAGAAAATGAAACAAGTTCACAGGTGTATCTAGGTGTGAAAACACACTGCTCAAGTATGGTGGTAGAATGGAAATGTCAAACAAAGATATCTAGTCAACTACCGTGTCATCTGAGTGCCCAAACTCATTCAAATACTCTTATTCCTCTCAAACAAACACTTTAATAATTCAATCTTTACTAAAACAGAAGAAAGGAAAGATACAATAACCTCAATCCACAAACTGGAAGAAGGCACTTATTTCTTCCTACTGATACCCAACACAGAACTACTTTCAATTCTCTTGCAGATTGTTTTTTTTCTTTCTTTCTTTCTATTTTTTTTTTTTTTTGTGTGTGTGTGAATATTTCTATTCTAAGGTATTTTCTCCTCTGTAGTAAGAATTGCAATAGAAACCACAACACTGACGTGACTGTAAGGTTTGGGAAAGTAACATAAAAAGATGAGACGGACTTAATGGAGACTTGGTGAGATCAAATTTTTTCTACAAGGAATGCCAACTCCAGCCAATTGCATCCTTTTAGAAATAAGATTGCAGGCCCTCACATTTTCAAGATATAAATAGGAAATATTTATAAAACATTTTTATTTTTAAAGTATTAGTACCTTAATTGAATTTTAAAACAATATGTTGCTGACTGAACATATCCTACTTGGTGCCTGATTGCATCTGCCATTTTGCAACCTCAATAGTAGAAGAAGACAGGAAGAAATGGCTAATCAAAGGTGATATGAAAATCACCAATTAAGTTACTGCTGAATTCTTGGGTCTTCCTTAATTATAAAGAACTTTTCCTAAAAGCATTATCACAGGTAAAGTTCCTGACTTAAAATTTCAAGTGCTGTTTCAATTCTAAACATTCAAGACATCAAGATGATCCTCAGAGAAAGAAATTCTATGTGTCAGCGGAAGGCAAATGTGGTCAAATACTGAAGATTTCGCCAGGGCAGTGCTGTCTCTCAAATCTCACGATGAAGATCATGAAAATACCCAGTGTACAGAGATGCTTCTGAACTGAAGAGAAACTTCCAAGTAGTAAGAAATGCAAAGTGAAAGTTGTATGTCACTAAGAAAAATGCAGTGAAATAGAAAGAAACTTAAGTTCTTTTTACCAAACCAATAATACTTACAATAGTGACAAAATATTTCAGAAAATGCCCCAAAGCAAGGTCAAATTTCACATTTAAACACAGCCTTTATCACAGAAGCTTCCTTTCTGTGCTCAATTTCTTTACTCTCCTTCCCAAAGAATCTTGTTTTAAGTGTTTCAAAGATTTATGGCTAGTGTACAATTTGTCTTCTTCTCCCTTAAAATAAAGTCTCACTATATGTAGTGTTTTAAAGCCAATATTTCCAAGATATTTCTAGACAAGCTCATTAAGAGTTAATAATGGCAGTACAGAATGAATTCACAGTAGATGACTCAGGCTCAATTTCATTTCCCATGGGGGCTCCTGACATCTTCAACCCATTTAGCCTCAACCACTTTTCTGAGTTAACCAAGTCTACCCTCCCCGATTGGCACAAGGAAGGACCAAGAAAGACAAAATTAAAAGCCAAAGCCACCAGCATCCTCGCGTCAGGAATGGTACCTGTTCAGGCTTCAGACCGGGTGGGACCCAGGCGTACTCTTCTAGGGCACAGCCTGAGTCGTCATCCGAAGTGGAGTTCCTCTGGAAGTCAAACATGAGTTTGCTAATGGTCTTCTCCATCTCTAGCGGCATCGCCGTCACCATGTGCTCCTCCCGGGGACACTTGCAGTGCAGGCAGATCTTCCTGTAGGTAGCAGAGGTGGAAGGTGAGAAAAAAGGAAAAAAAAAACTCATGTTTTCAAGAGCCTGCTGGTCACCAGCCCTTGGACTGCAAACCATAAACACAATCCTTGACAACCAGCTTCTAACAAAAGCATCTCAAGCAGTGCTCCAGAGCGTGCCTGCCCTTAGAAGGTGTGGCACACACATGTGAAAACAGCACAAAAGGTCAGAGGCTGTCAACTAAACGTGCTAAGGGCACTTAAACATGGATCACAATCTTTTCTTCTAAATCAACATTTCAAGAGAAATGGTAATATATTTTTTATTTTATTTTTATTGTTGGGGATTCATTGAGGGTACAAAGAACCAGATTACATCGATTGCATCTGTTAGGTAAATTTCCTCTTATAATTGTGTCCCACACCCAAAAGGTGTGTCACACACCATGATCCCTACCCCCTTCCTCCTTCCCTCTCTCTGCTCTCCCCTTCCTCATCTCCCACCGTGTACTAGGTCATTAATTGCCCTCCTATCAGAATTGAGTACACTGGATTTTTGCTTTACATCTTTTGTATTAACCTGGATGGAAGTGGAACACATTATTCTTAGTAAAGCATCCCAAGTATATTTTTTATTTTAGTAAGTAAACCACTGGATTATGGGCCATGACCACAGTTTCCTTGACTGTAATAACAATTAAATATGTATCCATAATGATAGGCTGACCAGAAATATTACCTGCAGATTTAACAAATGCTGACAACATTCTGTTTTTATAAAAGCCTTAGGAAACGGAAGTGGTTTTTGAAAGAATTATGGGTGAAATTTTCTTCAACAAGAGCAAATGTATTTTTTTTTCTCACTACATAAATCTGGCCCTAACATCTCAAAGGAAAGACATTTTTACCTCCATTAAAGATCACTGTAGGTTTGAGATTCTAATTAGAAACCCAAATTTTCCCTATGTTGGTGGGTTTTTTAATATGCAAAAAGATCATGCAAGTGAATTATTTCAAAAGGTAGCAGCCAAAGATAAAAATCACCCAAACTGAACGTTTCTCTTTTAAGGTTACCATCTGTTCCCTTATCCATGGCTACAGAAACGATGAAGCAATAAATATGTTGATGTCAGCAACACAAAAACATTTCTAGCTTCTACCGATAAAAGAAAAAGAGAAGAAATGAATGAAGGGGTAAAATTTTAAGGGAATAAGCAATTCTCCACGTACCCTTTTCTTTATTATTAGTTTCAGCAGTCCCTTGTTAAGGTAATGAAAGAGCCCAGCATTCTAATCCCCACATATGCCTGAATTTTTGATAACAGCTTTGTTATATTTGAGTCACAGACCATAAAATTCACTGTTTTACAGTGTACAACCCACTGGTTCTTAGTATGTTCACAAGGTTATGAAATCATCACCATTTGCTAATTTTATAACATTGTCAGCACCCCCCAAAGAAACCCCAGAAACATTAGTGGCAATGTACCTCTGCCTATGCCCTGACAACCACTAATCCACTTTCTATCTCTATGATTTTGCCTATTCTGGACATGTCATATTAACAAAATCATACAATATGCAGTCTTTTGGAACCAGCTCCTTCATATAGAATGATGTGTTAAGGTTAACCTATTATTGTAGCACATGTCAATCCTTCATGCCCTTTTACTACTGAGTAATAGGCCACTATATGGATATACCACATTTTTCATTTGTCAGCTGGTAGATACTGGGCTATTTCAACTTTTTGGCTATTGTGAATTATGTTGCTCTAAATGTTTACAGACATTTTATTTGTGGATTGTGTTTTAAATTTTCTTGAGTATGTGTATATGCCAGGGAATAAGGCAATTTTTTATACTATTAAATTATTTATTAATTCTTCAAAAAAATTTTTTGGTATATAGGAAGATCCCCCAATGTGCTCCCTTTCACCAGAACGTAGGATTTCTGAGAACAGGAGGTTCTCCATTTTTATTAGTTTTTTTAAAATTTCAGAGTAGTATGAGGGTACATATGATTAAGTTACATAATTTGCATTTGTAGGATTAAAGTCCAAGTAGTAGCCATGTCCTTCGCCCAGGAGGTATTCCATATACCCATACATTGTACCTGTTGGGTTGGGAAGCTACCAATTCCCCACACACGTAAATTTAACTGAATATTTCTCTGAGTGAGCCTGTAGTTGTTAATCTACTAGTTTAAATTCAGTACCGAGCACATATAATGCTTATTTTTCCATTCTTGTGATACATCACTTAGGATAATATTCTCCAAATCTGTCCAGGTTGTTACAAAAAACACAAAATTTCCATCTTTTTATGGCTGAATAGTATTCTTTGGTATCCATATACCACAGTTTATTAATCCATCCATGTGTTGAAGGGCACTTGCACTATCTCCACATTTTCATGATTATAAATTGAGCTGCTATAAACACTCGAGTGCAAATGTTCTTGTGGTAATATGTCTTTTTATCTTTTGAGTAGATACCTAGTAATGGTACTGCAGGATCAAATAGTAGTAGGTCCACTTTTACTTCTTTGAGGAATCTCCATACTTCTCTCCAGAGAAGCTGTACTAGTTTGGCATCCCACCAACTCTAGTGGCCATTTCCACTAGAGTTTGGTGATATTCCAAACTGGTTCTGATTTGCATTTCTCTAATTATTAAGGATGATGAACATTATTTCAAGTCTTTGTTGGCCCTTCATGTGTCCTCATGAAAAAAGTTTCTGTTCATGTCTCTTGCCCAGTTTTTAATGGAGTTGGTTGCTCTTTTCTTGTTGATTTGCTTGAGTTCTTTATAGATTTTGATAATTAGCCCTTTGTTGGATTCATAGCATGTAAATATCTTCTTCCATGCTAGAATGGAAATTTTAACATTTTGGGCAATTGTCAAATTGTTTTCCAAAATATCTGTACATTCTCATCATCAATGAATGAGTGTTCCATTTTCTCCACATTCTAGCCACATTTGCTATTGTCTTTTTGACTATAGCTATTCTAGTGGGTATGAAGTGATATATAATTGTGGTTTTGATTTGCATTTCCCTAATAGCTAATTATGTTGAACATCTTTTTATGTGCTTATTATATATCTTCTTTGATGAAATATCTATTCAAATCTTTAGTCTATTTTTTTATTGGGTTATTATTTGTATTTTAATTGTTTAGTCATAAGCATTCTTTATATATTCTCTGGATGAAAGTTTTTTATCAGATATGTGATTGGAAAATTCCCCCTCCTCATTCTGTGGGTTGTTTTTCCCCCCACTTTCTTGGTGATGTCTGTTGTTGCTTTTATTTTTTCTGTCATATTTAAGAAACCATTGTATAACCCGTGGTCATAAAAATTTACTTTCACATTTTAACCTAAGAGTTTTATGGGTTCACCTTTTACATCCAGGTCTACGATCCATTTTGAGTTAATTTTTACATATAGCATAAGTAGGAATCCAATTTCATTCTCATGTGACTATCTAGTTGTTTTGGCACCATTTGCTGAAAGAATAGTGTTTCCCCATTAAATTGTCTTTGCACTCCTGTCAAAATCAATTGACCATAATTGCAGGAGCTTATTTCTGGGCTTTCAATTCTAGTCCCTTGATATATGTCTATCCTTAGGTCAGTTCCACACCATCTTGATGACTACAGTTTTATAGTAAGTTTTGAAATCATGAAGTATGATTCTGTATCTTTGTTCTTCTTTTAAAAAATTGTTTTTAGTCTTGTTGGTCCCATGGATAGACATTCATAAAAAACAAATTTTTTAATTACCTTGTTAATTCCTACAATAAAAGGTAGGTGAGCATGCGCTGAATCTAAAGGGGACTGTCATCTAAACAATATTAAGTATTCTGATCCATGAACACAAAATGCTTTCCATTTTCTTCAATCTACTTTAGTTTCTTTAAACAATATTTTGTGATTTTCAGGTACAAGTCTTGCATTTTTTAGTTAAGTTTATTCCTAAGTATTTTGTTCTTTTTAATGCCATTACAATTGGAATTATTCTCAAATTCATTTTCAGATTGTTAGTGTATAAAAACAAATGGCTTTTATTTTGATGTCAAATCATATAGTCTTGCTGAACGCATTTATTAGTTCTGTTAGTTTGTGTATATGTGTTTGTATTCTTTTGGATTTTCTACATACAAAACCACGTCATATGTGAATAGAGAATTTCACAGTTCACTTTTTAACCTGATGTCTCTTATTTCTTTGTCTTGTCTTATTGCTCTGGCTAAAATCTCTAGTATAATTTAAGGGTAAATACCCTTGTCTTGTTCCTGATCTTAAGGGAAAACATCTAGTCTTTCACCATTAAGTACTGCTAGCTGTGTTTGCTTTTTTTTTTTTTTTTTTTGGTGTGTATATGGATGTCCCTTATCAGGTTAAGGAAGTTTCCTTCTATGCTAGTTTGTTGTTTTTACACAAAAAGTGTGTTGGACTTTGTCAAATGCTTTTTCTTCATCTATTGAGATGATTAGTTGTTTCTGTCCTTATTCTATTAATGTGCTGTGCTTGAACTTTTACATAAAAATATACTTGAAGAAACCAAATTGGTGTAGTCTAGCCAAGTTAGCTTGTCAGATTCTCCCCCATCCTGCTTTTCATCAGACTGAAACATACACAGACAGAATGCACACCCCAAATTTGCTTTGCATCCCCAAACGCTAAGAAATTCCATCCAAATGCTGGATGTTTCTTTCAAAAATAGTTAGAGCTCATTTGAACAGTAACTCTTTAATTGATCAGCTATTGTAAAGTGGTCAGGGTTATTAGGAAGCTGTTAGATCTTTCCTCCCCCAAAACTTCTCATTCCAGTTTATGATTTAAGGGGGAAAAAGTTTCTATGTGCTTAAACAAATTTAACTTTGGTGACTAATACTTTTTACTAGAAAGTCATACATTCAAAACAAAATGTAGAAGAATTTTACCAAGTTCAGTTTCTAGACTGTCCATCAATAAGACTCTTTTACTCATCAGTGAAGAGAAGAACACACTGCTTAATCCTG